AATTGGCAGTGTTAGAGCATTGCATTAACTTTGGCAGTAAATACATGTGGCTGCTGGATCCTGGTAACCTAATGTGATCTATGCAGGTTGATTTGATTGCGTTCGCTGCACGCACTCCCCGTGCCGATGAACGAAATCTTTGGTGATTCTTCGAAGCTGCCATGTCTAACTGCTCTTTGTCATGATTGACTTCCACTCTTAATGATTCTACGCCGTGGTTATTGACTAACGTGTCTCTCTTACATATTTCTTGGTCTCGGCTATGAACGTTCCCTTTCATTTTCCTAACTTTTCAATTGTTTATTTCAAAATCAGTAGTGCGTCTACGTTGCAGAAAGTGTTTTTTTCTTTATCACTTATTTACTATTCTATTAGAACTTGACCTACATTAATCGCCTTTCCCGTGCCGTCTGTCCTCACATAATCTACCGATTGATTGCCGTGGTTGACGACCCACTAAATAACGCATTGATTGAAGACTTTAAGAATCTCCTTTGCCAGGTAAGTAGTGCTTAATGTAAAATCCTTTAATTCATCTAAAAACAAAGGTATTTGTTTTCATACTTTTGCATCTACACATATCGTCGCTCTTTTCGGTAACAGTCTACAATCTGCTCGAATCAAATTGAATCCCACAGCTATTCAAACAAAATTGCCAAGCCTCGTTTATCCAGAGAAGCAATGCACAGAGCAATGATCTGAATAAACTAACAGAAATCCAATTTCAATGTTTGTGATAGAAGGCCAAACCTGTTTTTATTTCTTTTGAGACTACATATCTCCAGTTGTCCAAACTAAGATCTAATTTGACATACGATATTCAGTTTGGAATTCGATTCTTGTTCAGGCTCCCCGTGCATTGCCTCTAAGCCAATCCACGCGGATTTTCCCCCTTTAGATCATGTGAGCTGGAAAACTTAAAAGCATCTTTGTATCATTGTGGTGTTTTTATTTTCATTTACTTCGTACGTTAGGTATATACTTATATATATATTTTTTGCTTGATAACGTGTGATTGTCGTGTCAATTTCCATTCATGCAGTATTATCTGTTTTATTTAGACACCATTTCACTTGCTGTTTGGTGTGTCGCACGTTGCATATGCAAAAGAAAGTGACCGATCAGAAAGCCTTAATTTAGATTAGATTTAAACGCCAGAGTATGGTATCAATATAATGCGGGTCTCAGAGACATTGTAATCAGAAATTTCCCTTCATTAGTTAAACATTGTGCACAAGTGTCTGTGCTGACCTGCCTTTCATTAAATGCGAAAGCTACAAAAATATATTTCATCTTTTTGTTTACACCCATGTAAATATTGCTCCTTGCGACCCAGAATGAGGAACAGGATTCAGATGTCTGTCCAACAGCGAAAAAGTTAAAACCTCCAAAATTTTAATCGAGGGCCTTCTAGACTTAAAGTCGCACTGTTTAAACTGGTAAAGGTATAATGATTCTATAGATGTAAAAGAAGAAGGGAAATTAGAAAGAGGAGAGACAGAGAGAAGTCAAAAGAATGGCAAGGTTCTGTAAATTACCATGGACATCGAACTGAGGACGGCAGATTTTGAATGCCAAATATGATTTATCTGAGGACAATCCCGATACGATATAGACTCCTTCTACAATCTTTATTTTTTTTGGAACATTTCGAAATATCTATGAACTTAGCTCAGGTCCCATAAAATCACATGATTAAATGTACTTGCGGAAATGCATCTGAGGCATCCTTAGCTGAAAGATTGCACACTATGTTGCTATTTTGGCCGTAATACAATACACTCCCATTAACAATGTACCTAAATCTACGGAACTTAGGCAGGAAAGCGACAGCGCTAGGGTCGATCCTTTGCTAGATTACTTACGACAAAGTAATTCTCTTTAAACTGCCTACTTTATTCTATTCTACTTGTCAGTGCAATCAATAACTATTAACCTATATTATGGCATGCTCCCCTTGTGCGTTATTTTTTCTCTCTCTTTTTTCGTGTTCACATTCCCTGCCTATCTCCCCTTATAACCACATTTTCAAGTAATTGCCCGGACCTTATAATTGGATTCCAGGATAATATTCAGTGAAGTTGCGAGGATTCATTGGTATAATCGGCTCGTGCGCCAATTAATCTCCTGTGTCTGCGCCCCTTTCATCACAATCTGTAATCGCAAATTTTCTGTAGGCTTTCTCGTCGTTAATCAACACGGCAAGTTCCTCAAACCTTTCACTGGTTTTCGCTGAGCTAGCGGCATGCGCAGTTGTAATCTTCAATTCGTTTTCCTTCACTAATCGTGCGTAAGCACCAGCTAGCAGTCCGTTAAGCTTATCATATGAGGGTTCATAGTTTAGACGAAGGAAGAGCCAATATTTTTCAAAGATTAAGGATATGGCACTTTCTACACATCATGACAAAGACGTAAACTAGAGCCACTGGCAACTGATACTTTTATCCTCGGCTTGACCCAACAATGTACATTTACCCTGCAAGGATCGCAAGATTTATGTAACAATAGCACCATTCCACAACCTTTTTTGTTATTTATGTCGTTTGTTATTTTACGATATACGCTTGCACAATCAGTGCCTTTACAGTATTTAACTGGAAATCATGTAAAGTACAGCAATTATGGGAATTGACTATTTACTCTCACAGTGAAATAAAATGCATAATGTTTAATATATTGCCTACTAGCATTCGGTGTTTCCACCCAGTAATATTATTCCACTGATGTGGCCATTGTTTATTACCTAAAATAACCTAGCCTCCTCCCCACTTCTTTAGTGATAAATGAATACTTTAATTAAATCCTGGGTCCATGGCACAGTTTTCAGTGATACCACGATATTTTTTTCTGAATAATCTGCAATAGTAACACTGTATCCTACCAATAGTCAAAAACTAATAAATCTACCTTATTTAACTAAAGACTAGATGGACCCCGATTTTCAATATGACTTGGGACTCAGGAAGTTCTTAATCTTAACTCTTATCTAGCAGTGATTAATTCCCGGAACGAGTTTGAACTTACAACGTTTTGCGTAAGACCAAACATCCAGAGGACTTTACGTGCGAATAACATTATAATATATTTCGTCAAACCGCTTTGCGAGTCTTTTTTACTCAACCAAAATTAGTTATAGACAACACAGTGGTATAGTATGGTTGCAAGACACTTGCACACCAACCACTATGTGTACACGCAGCAGAGACCAGAAACCACCCTAGGATAGCAGATCGTGCAAGTATGTTTCAGCATATGATATTGACCTTAAGTGATACACAGAATATAAAAATATTGTTTTCTGTATTTTTTTGTGTGCAGCACCTGACGATGACTAAGGGGTGGCCTGAAAATGTAATTTTTGCCTGTCGTGATTGCATTCCCACGTGATCCACATCCAGTTTAGGCACCCAGCACTTAGACGATTCTCAAATACAAGGTAATGCTAGCATAACGTGACAAATCTGTATTCAATTACTTTGACATCAGGCAGCGTTAG